GCAAAATTAGGGTCGAGAATCTTATTCATGCACAAACAGTTTCTCTATGTAACCTTGTTGCATTAGATTATTGAAGTTCAAAATGACAATGTTATATGAGTATATATATATGCTTACACTTAGAATCAAGTTGTAATAACCTTTTTATAAGCTCATGTTGACCTAATAGCTAAACAAAAATCAATTATGGACCTTATGCTTCGAAGTTCTCGGCCCACATAACCCTAGGCCGAAAACCCTTTTTATTGGGCCATGTCAAACCCAAAAACCACTCTCTCATGCAAGCCCAAAACCTGAAAATCCCTCCAATGGCCAAGATGGTTCGGTTATAGGCATAAGACAAAAGGGGGATGGTCTTGGTGGTGACACCTCACTACTTTACTCCTCTTGGACCATCAAACAACCATGCAAGACATATAACAACCCATCATGCATCCATGCACATTACCTAATGGACCATCATGCAAAGGTAAAAGGTGGCACCCCTCTCCCCCTCCCTTAAATACTTGCGGCTAAGAGTGGGTTTAACCCAATGTTACCACTTCTTTCTCCACATAAACTCTTGTTCTCTCTAAAAATTTATCCAAGTTCTCCAAGTTAGACACCAACAACCCGAATTCTAGGACTCTTGGTAAGCAATACTCAACTTTCATTTTGTTGTTAAGTTCTTCATGTTTACACACCCTTTTTGTGTGTCAGATCCTTAGAACACTTACATTTTCGAGAAGCTATTCAAGCTTGTGAACAAGGCTAAGCTCGAATCCACTCACTTCTTCCTCCCTACAACCCACGAAAATCATCAATGTGAGCTTCATACCCCCAAGTTTTTCGTGTTCTCATGCTTTTAGGGGGGAGGAATACAAGTCAAATTACGTTTACCCAATGGATATTTGTATGCATTAACTTGTTAATCAAACTATATGTGCATAAAATGTTGAAACCATCACATATTTATACCTTAAAATCGTGAATTATAAGGTTGTATAAGCCACCAAAGGGCTTCTAGCCCAGCGGTATCCGGTGTTGCCCTCCCTCATTGAGGTCTAGGGTTCAAGTCCCATGAGGGATATAGATAGAGATTTAGGAGAATTGTAGGAGTAGAATAGAGTAGATTTTCCGTTAAAAAAAAGGTTGTATAAGCCAAAATGTGTTTGTCCATTGGACATTTGCATGCACCATGGTTATTTGCTCAAATATGAAACAATCCTAGTGTGTGTATATATATATATATATATATATATATATATATATATATATATATATATATATATTATAATTACTTGTTTACTACATGAGAATCGGAAATCAAGTAGTTGTCATCATTTAGAAGACTCAAAATTTTTTGTGTGTATGAAGTTGATATACACAAATATAACCAAACATACATGCATAAAAGTTCAAAATGTGATTGTCTTTTAGATACTGACATGCCTCATGTTTACCAATTGGAATGGATATATTTTTTTACAAAAGTGTAAAGTCACCTTTGATTTCTCTAAAAGCCGTGACCTATATGGTAGAGATGACAAAAATAAACTATTTTGTGTTACGAATTTCCAACCGGTAAAATATGAAAAGTGCAACTACAACTTTTTTTTTTTTGCAAATTTTTACTAAGAATAGTTTTTCTAGTAAAAATGGTCACATTTTTAGTCGTCACCATTATGATGGGTTAAAACCCAAGAAACATTTATGTTTTTAACAAACTTAAAAATAGATATTTATATAACAAAGTATATAAATAGTTTACATAGAAAAACATTCAAAGCAAGCTTAATTGGTATAGTTTGTCTGTCATAAAATACATGTCATGAAACTCATAAAACGCGTGTCATAAAACACATGTCATAAGATTTTCAATAGTGTGATCATTCCATTATACGATATAAAAGGAGTCGTAGTTCATGTAAATCCGTTAATGCTTTAGTGAGACATTCCCTTCACCATACCTACCTAGCGTACACTGTAAGTCCTGCATTATGACCAGACTCTCCTGGAGGGAGAGTGAGATAATGTAGTATAGATCTATACGAGGATTGATAACCCCATACCTGAGCTGTTCGCTACAGCTAGACGGGTTAGTCTAAGGTGACAAATATCTTACCTATTTCAATGCCCAAAGAACATCGTACATGCATAACAGTCATACAAGCATGGTTATAATAACTCACATAGGGATTAACAATACTATCTTGGTTTACGGAGAGCTTACACTTCACCGGTTTTATTAAAAATTAAAACTGGTCTTGATCTTAGGGTTTAAAACTACCGTTTTCATACATCATAAAATACTGGATTTTCTAGGAACTTACATTTTTCAGTTGCAAGAAAAAGAAACAAAGTGCATGCATACATACACGTGGATATAAAGAACGTCAAAAACGGAGTTCGTATGAAAAAAGTTACGACCTTCCGAAGATGTAGCAGTTTAAGAGCATGACATGTGGCAGAAACCCTTATCAGCCATGCTCCAAGACATGGAAATAAGGTCCATGACGTAAAATTAGTCAAGGACACTAATCGAGGCTAAAAAACACGTGCTAAGTCTACGGAAGTGATGTGTTAAGATCCCACGATGTGGACATAAAGGCCACGATGTGGAAATGTCATCCGGACACCTTTCGAAGCTAGAACGCATTGGCAAGCCTACGAAGTGATTCAACCATCTCCACGACGTGAACATGTCATCTCCACAACGTGGACTTGCCCAGAACACCCTATAAATAGCAAGTTCAACCCTAAGCTTCCTTACACCAAATTATTCTCTTTCTCTATCTTTCTCTCTCTCTCTCTCTCTCTCTCTCTCTCTCGTTTGCTGAAGCGTTCTGCGTCCCGAGCCCGACTATCACGAACCGCTGATCATTTCTAGTTAGATTTTATCAACTCATGCTACTAATGTGAGTGCATAGTTACTTTCATCTTACGTATAGATATTATTTAATATAAATTACGTGTTATGTATGCATGTTATAAGTGTTCTTGATATCTACGTTAGATGGACGATTTATACATTTTTACGTGATTTAAATTGTATACATATTTTTATACTTATAAATATATATTGGGTAGCAACAGGTGATGAGAGATAGGTGATGATAGAAATGTGATGATAATTAAGTGATGAGAGATAGGTGATGATAGAAAGGTGATGATAATTAGGTGATGAGAGATAGGTGATGATAGAAATGTAATGATAATTAGGTGATGATAGATATGTGATGATAAATAGGTGATGTGAGATGAGATGAGATACCATAACCTTGACCGATGATGTGGCGATGTAGTCATCTACCAGAGTATAGATGGCGACCACAGACTATTCTACACAGTCATGTGGAAACATCGGAGCTCATAACCTGTAGGTGATGAATTACGAGTTCAGGCAATGTTGTAACTACGTATTCATGCGATGATACTCTAACCCTTACTATGAATTACAAGTTCAGACGATGTTGTAACTACGTATTCATGCGATGATACCTTAACGCTTACTGAACATGTATTGAGGGAGTAATCCCCGAATCAGTACTGCCTATGCAATGTAGGCGATGATCCTAGGGAAAAGTCCTTAGGAACAAACATATATGGAAATGCGATGTAAGGAGATGAGAGTTAAATACGATATAGTAGATGACCCTTAGGATAAATCTTTAGGGAAGATTAAATGAAGATAATGGGGATGAGTAATTAGGTTAATTGTTTGATGATTAAACATAATAATTATATTATTGTGGATTGAAAACCATATGTACTCACCAGGTTTCCCAACATGACCCACTCAGTTTATTTGTATCACATGTGTCGATACAAAGCTACATTACACTAAAAGATTAACGGAGATGTAGATCATTAGTGTAAATAATGTCTGTTTATGCTTATGTTTATGTATTGACGATGACATCCCAAAGTTTTAATATGAACAAAATACATTTCTTCGGAAATGCTTTGATAATATATTTATCATGTTTTTCTAGGAACAAATTTCATAATATTATTTATTAAAATGAATACTTTGATTTTCAAATAAGCATAAATAAAAATTTTAAAATGACTGTGAATTTGGGGATGTCACATATAATCAGTCTGCTCTCCATCTGACACAAAATCTCGTGTTTCGTGAGAGGTCAAAACACATCGAGGCGGGTTGCGACTTCTTGAGAGATGTTATACTAGATTGTACAATTAATCCATCTTATGTTCCTACTATGAGTCAATTGACAGATGTTTTTATAAAGTCGTTGAGTCAAAACAATTTAGGTATATTTTATCTTTAGGTTTATCTTTAAGGCTTAGTCTTGCTCTTGTGTAATGGCCAATTAGGTTATTGTATTCATTGTTTCTTTATGTTTCAATGTAAAACAAAGGAAAAAGTGTCGTTTCACTTTTAACGAAGTAACAGTGACCCTCGGTTTTTGTTTTCGAGTTTCAATCGAGAATAAACTTGAGAGAGATGGAAGGGTGGGGTGGAGCAGCAGATGTATAAGATTTATGTGTGTTTTAATGGAATGTAAATATAAAAATATGATTAAAAATTAAATTTATAAAATGTTATATGAGTAGGTAACAAGTTTGGTTCCTTTTATATGTTGTTTTTTCTAGTTTAGTTTAAGTACAAAATGACTGTTATTATAAAAAATAATTGTTGACTAATTAGATTTAACAATAAAAACAAAATCATCAATTATAACCATCGAATACCCATGTAACGTTTAGAAAATCTATCTATTCAATTTTACGTAGATTTATTATTTAACTAAAATATCAAAAGAAAAAATCAATGAATCCAAACTTAACGGATGACTCAAGCAAGGCCCCACTTATCCATCCCATCTCAACCACACCACCACTTTCTCTTCTCGATTTCTCATCTATTGTTCAATAACTCCTGATAAATTAATATCCCACGATAAAATTATAAACTAATACATAAAACGAAAGCGACACTTAAAATTAAAAAAATGATAAATAAATATGGCAGGTGCCTCCGTGGCGTAACTGAACTCGAATATTCAACCAAATTTCAATCACTCATTTCAAATCCGCCAAACAGTATACTCACGTCATCTCCCACTTCCCAAATGATAAGCAGTATAGCTTATAGCATTCCACTTTAAACGCAATGATAAGCGGATGTACTTATATTTTTGATAAGACCAGTAGAAAATGGTAGACTCTTCTGCCAAAATACGCATCGAAGATCGCGAGACTAAGTCCCCCCCACCCCAACTTTCTCTTTTCCTTCTTTCTCTCTCTTTCTATCTTCTTCGCATCCTTGGAAATTTATACATTGGACTTTTGCTGAAAACCCTAGAAATACAGCTGATTTTGTTGAGTTTAGGTGCTTTGATCTCGGTTTTTGGGACTTTGTTGATGATAATTTGTTTCAATGTCATCACTTAGTAGAGAATTGGTGTTTCTCATACTTCAATTTCTCGAAGAGGAGAAGTTTAAGGAGGCTGTACACAGGTATCTCTCTCTTTCTAATATATCTCCTCAGGTGATGTGTAAATTTCAAGGAAGAAATTGTTTAAATCGTTTTTGTGTTTTTATTATAATTTGTTTGTGAGGTTCAATTTGTCTGGATGTACTTGTTTCGCTGTTGCGACATCTGTTTCCATTTCGAGATATAATGAGTAACAAAAACGTAAATTCTCACCCGAACTTTTTGGATTCTGTATTTGACGAATATCGAAGCTTGAACTGTGATGCACGGATTAGTAATCGGAGTTTTTGACTAGTTTATTGTGTGCTTTTGTGGGGAAATGTTGGATGGGTTTATCAATTAGATTTTCGTGTTACCTATTTTGCGATGAAGCTAGATTCTAGCGTTAAATCAGTGTGATTAGATGTTTATTACAGTTACGTGTTTGTGTAGGCTTGAACAAGAATCTGGATTTTACTTTAATGTTAAGTATTTTGAGGAGAAAGTTCATGCTGGCGAATGGGATGAAGTTGAGAAATACCTGTCTGGATACACCAAGGTTGATGATAACCGATACTCAATGAAGATTTTCTTTGAAATCAGAAAACAGAAGTATCTTGAAGCTCTTGATAGGTAAGACTAGACTGAATCCTTCCTGTTGAATATGGTGATTGATATGTTAATCTAAGTTGAGACTACCTATGTTGTGAATCATGAATTTATGATTGTACCTGACTTTACTAGGCAAGACAAGCCCAAGGCAGTTGAGATATTGGTAAATGATCTGAAAGTCTTCTCAACATTCAATGAAGATTTATTTAAGGAAATTACACAGCTCTTGACACTTACGAATTTCAGGTAATGTGCTCCTTTTGCCTCAAGTTTCCAGTTTATTATGATTCATTGTTCATTTACTGATTAAACTTTTTGACTACAGGGAAAATGAGCAGCTATCCAAGTATGGTGATACTAAAACAGCTCGTAGCATCATGTTAGTAGAGCTTAAAAAGCTAATAGAAGCAAATCCCCTTTTCCGAGAAAAGCTTGTTTTTCCTACCTTGAAGTCATCAAGATTGAGGACTCTGATTAACCAAAGGTAAGACTTCATTTATCTGTTAGTTGTTTAAATTGGTATTATATAATAATGATTTTGTGCTCTATGATCTATCCAGTTTAAATTGGCAACACCAGCTGTGTAAGAATCCAAGGCCAAATCCAGATATCAAGACTTTATTCATAGACCACTCATGCACACCGGCAAATGGCAATATCGTACCTACACCTGTCAATCTTTCACCTGCTGCAGTCACGAAACCCAGTGTTTATACATCGCTTGGAGCACATGGTGTATGATGCCTTTTTTATATTAATGACCTTCTTGCCCCTAGGTTATGTACTCTTCTAAGTTCTAATAGATTGTTTGCATGAAATTACATTGCAGCCCTTTCCCCCTGCTGCAGCCAATGCAAATGCTAATGCTTTAGCAGGTTGGATGGCAAATGCTGCTGCTTCTTCTTCTGTCCAGGCAGGTGTTGTTTCTGCATCATCTTTAGCTGCTCCACCAAATCAAGGTTAGGGTTTCACATTGAGTTCTTTGCATACAAGTTGGTTGTGTATTAGTCTTACTCTAACACTATCCATAACTGGTGGTTATAACGAGTAAGTCTATGCATGATTTGACTAGTAATCAAAAACTATGTAGTCAAAGTTTATTTGATGGGAAAAGCAATAGAAATTTAGTAATTTTCATATGTGATCTAGTATCCTTTTTGAAACGTGCTGCAACACCCCTTACAACACTTGGTATGGCGGAGTATCAGAGTCCTGATCATGAACAATTAATGAAACGTTTGCGGCCTACCCATCCAGTTGAAGAGGTAACACTAACATTAAAGAACATCTGCATATTCCATGTCTTATTGCATGAATTCCCATGAAGTTTATCATGTATGCCACACATATCTTCAGGTTACATATCAATCTACACGACAACAAGTGTCATGGTCCATGGAGGACTTGCCAAGAACTGTAGCCTTTAGCATGCATCAAGGATCAACTGTAACAACCATGGATTTTCATCCTTCTCATCAAACATTGCTTCTTGGTATGAATATGATGGTTAATTGTATTAGTATCCCCTCTTGAAACATAGAAGGTGTGTGTGTGTGTTTCTTACTTATTAATTTCAATCTTCTAGTTGGATCTGTGAATGGTGACATCACGATTTGGGAAGTTGGTTCGCGTGAGAAACTGACATCAAAATCGTTCAAGATATGGGACATGTCAACTTGCTCTTTGTCCTTTCAGGTTTGACTATATTTTGGAGACCATTGACCTCTCATGTTTTGTTGTTGAATGTAAATACTCACTTTCCTTTGTTGTGCAGGCCTCATTTGCCAAAGATGCACCCATGTCTGTGAACCGTGTTAAATGGAGTCCAGATGGAAATATTATTGGTAGGTATGTTTTTATTTTCTTAAAGTTGTAGGTCTGAAGTTAATAATTGTGATGCCACATTATCACAGGTGTGGCTTTCAGTAAACATTTAATCCATTTATATGCTTATGGTGCGCCAAACGATTTACGCCAGCAGTTAGAGGTGAGTTGACTTGAGATAATGCTGACATTTTGCCAGCTCAGCAAAGGAAAGTGATCATACTTTTGAAACTGCTATTTTATTTTTTCATGCAGATTGATGCTCATGTTGGAGGAGTGAATGACTTGGCCTTTGCTCATCCAAACAAACAGCTGTGTGTTGCTACTTGTGGGGATGATAAGTTAATAAAGGTGTAAATGCTAAATAGTTTCTAGAACCTTGTATAATTTAATAAAAAACAAGAAAATATCTATCTCTCTTTTTCTTCTGGAAAGAAACTAACAGGGAAATGGATCAGGTGTGGGATTTAACTGGACGGAAACTATTCAATTTTGAAGGACATGAAGCACCAGTTTACTCTATATGCCCTCATCAGAAAGAAAATATTCATGTATATCACGATATACATACATACATACATACATACACACAGTTGATATCTACAAATTATCATTCAGCTGTAATTTTTGTTTTTCAGTTCATATTTTCAACTGCAATTGATGGTAAGATTAAGGCATGGCTGTATGACAACATGGGATCTAGAGTTGACTATTCTGCCCCTGGTCATGGCTGCACCACCATGCTATACAGTGCTGATGGCAGTCGGTAATATAATTTGTTTATTGATAAAAAATGTTCATTGTAAATTGTAATGCTCTTAACTGTTTTGTAACGCCTTGTTCCAGATTGTTTTCTTGTGGAACAAGTAAAGAAGGGGAGTCTTTTCTTGTTGAATGGAATGAAAGTGAAGGAGCACTTAAGAAGACTTATACTGGTTTCAGAAAGAAATCAAGTGGCGGTGTTGCACATTTTGACACAACTCAGAACCACTTTTTGGCTGTTGGAGAAGAAAACCACATAAAGTTTTGGGACATGGATAGCATCAATATTCTCGCTACCACAGATGCTGATGGTGGACTCCCGGTTAGTAATAGTAAATTTCTTTTTCTTTTTCCACAATTATTTTGTTATATCAATACATATTTAAATGATTATTATTTCAGATTTTCCCACGCTTGAGGTTCAACAAGGAAGGTAATCTTCTTGCTGTTGCTACTGCTGACAATGGGATCAAGATTCTTGCAAATGCTTCTGGCTTGAGGTCTGTAAGAGCAACTGAAGCCCCCCCGCCTTTTGAAGTATCAAAGTCTTCAGTTGAACCAGCTGCAATTAAAGTGTGTGTTGTGTTAACTGATTTAACATTTTTGTTAATGTGATATTTATCAAGCTGTTCATGTTCTATGATGGATCAGATACCTACCTCTTCTGCTATTGCTACTCCTAGTGCTGTTAACTGTAAACTGGAGAAAACCTCACCTGTCAGACCTTCCACCTTTCTCGTGAGTCAACTCAACTATACTTTACTTCCTTCTCCTCCCAAAAAAACGTATCCAATATGCTTGGAGCCCATATGCTCTCATTGATTGGTTTATTATAGGCATAGAAAGGTAGGGGTAAATGCAATAAATATATAGCAATGTACTTTCATTGATTTGTTTATTATATCATACTTTTTTTATTACAGCATTGTAATTTGAAAACTCTTCCAAATTATAGCATTTTAATTTGAAGTATAATGCTATAATTGGATAGAATTCTCATACTAGAATGCCTTAATAAGCAAAAATAAAAAGTACAATGCTTTAATAGAAAGAAATGGAAGTAAATTCCCTTGTTTTTTATATCATAATCATATTACTTTCATTTGTTCCTATTACAACGTTGTACTTTGAAAATCTACCCAATTATAGCAATGTCCTTTAAAATCTACCGAATTGTAGCAATGTCATCCAAAATGCATAGCAATTTTCACAACTATATTTTGGTAAAGTTTTCAAAGTATAACGTCCTAATAATAAAAAAAAAAATTGAAAGTATGTAGCCATTTTTTGTGTTTAGCCCTAGAAAGTTATACAAATGCTTCTGATTCCTGTGCATCTTGGTTGATCTTATGTTTAGAATGGTGATTCTGTGGGACAAAGCTTAGAAAAGGCAAGGAATCTGGATGATGTAACTGATAAGATGAAACCATGGAAGTTGACAGAGATTGTAGATGCTGCCAACTGCCGCCTAGTCACCATGCCAGACAGCTCAGATGCCTCCAATAGGGTAGGTATAATAAGAAAAGAAAAGAAAAGTTTTTCATGATAATTTTGTTGCATGCTAGATTACAAGATAGATAACTATGTGCGTGCAGGTTGCTCGACTTCTTTATACAAATTCTGGAGTTGGGGTTGTAGCCCTTGGATCAAATGGTGTTCAAAGGCTGTGGAAGTGGGCTCGCAATGAACAAAATCCAACTGGAAAAGTATTGCCATTAATTACACTATTCATCATTTTGTTATCTATTATTTCTCTAGGGTTAGGGTTAAATACAAGAAATAGCAATCTACTTCTTTGAAAATCTATTCAGTTATACTATAGCAATGTCATCCAAACACAAAACAATTTTCACTGCTATGATTTCATATATTTGAAAGAAAAAAAAAAGTTTAGATTTTCCAAAATATGATTTTGCCTTGATAAGAAAAAAGATGGATGGATGTACAATGTTGTAATAGAAAGAAATGAATGTTGGATGCTATACAAAAGTACATTGCTATTGCTTTGCATTGAGTGTATTTAATTATTATCATCCTTATTTTATATTTAATGATTATTAATTTGCTCTGATGTTTAAAGGCCACTGCCAATGTTATTCCACAACATTGGCAACCAAACAGTGGTCTTCTTATGACAAACGATGTGACAGGTGTGAACCTTGAAGAGGCAGTTCCATGCATAGCACTCTCAAAGAATGATTCTTATGTGATGTCTGCTTCAGGTGGGAAAATTTCATTGTTCAACATGATGACATTCAAGGTATATGTAAAAACTATCTTTAAAATATATTCAATTATGCACATCCTAATTTTTATATTTTTAGGTCATGACAACCTTTATGCCACCTCCACCTGCTTCAACCTTCCTAGCATTTCATCCTCAAGATAACAATATTATTGCTATTGGTATGGAGGATTCAACAATTCACATATACAATGTTCGGGTGGATGAGGTGATTATTTATTCTAATTATTTTGTTTTTGGGTCGTTGAAGTAATGTAATTAATTGGTTATGGCTGGCTTGTTAGGTGAAATCAAAGCTGAGAGGTCATCAAAAGAGGATAACCGGGCTTGCTTTTTCTACCCATTTGAAAATATTGGTTTCGTCAGCTGCCGATGCTCATGTGAGTTTTTGTAGGGGCTAAATGCAATTAGTGTGTGTGTGTGTGTGTGTGAGTTGGTATATTATGAGATTTTAGTATGCAGATTTGTTTTTGGAGCATTGATTCATGGGAAAAGAGGAAAATGGTACAAATACAACTGCCTCCTGGTAAGTCAGCTACAGGTGACACTCGAGTCCAGTTCCACTCCGATCAGACACAATTGCTTGTGTCCCACGAAACACAGTTGGCACTATACGATGCTTACAAGATGGAACACATACGTCAGGTATTGAAACCCACCCTAAACCCCCTATATGTTTCTACTCTAGGGTTCAGTAATTAGTATGATACTATAACATAACTATGTCTTGTCTTGTGAATGAATGTGTTGCAGTGGATCCCACAAGACAACCTTTCAGCACCCATATCTTATGCTTCATACTCATGCAACAGTCGACTAGTCTATGCTTCCTTTTGCAATGGCAATATCGGTGTATTTGATGCCGACAACTTAAAACTAAGATGCCGCATTGCCCCTTCTGTATATATACCACTACCACCATCGCTATCAAACGGGTAACAACATCGAATCTTAACCACAGTTCGTTAGTTAGTTCTTGTGTGGTGCTATATATCTTTGCAGAAACAAACCACGGTTCAAGTCTCATTAGCTCCAGTAGGGGAGTTTCAGTAGCCACCTAAAATCTAATGTGTAGCTATTTACATCTCACGTGATGCTTGTAGAATAACGGTTTTGTATGTTTTATGTTTTATGCAGAAATCAAGGACCGTACCCAGTTGTGGTGGCGGCGCATCCGCAGGAGCAAAATCAGTTTGCGGTGGGAATGTCGGATGGAGCTGTTAAGGTAATAGAACCTTTGGAATCAGAAGGAAAATGGGGTGTAAGTCCACCTGATGAGTAGTGTTATATAGATTATTATATTGTTATTATTTAAGATAGGAATGTGGCGTGTTTATAATAATCTTCCATCTCCCTAGTGGTTGGTTAATTTTTATGAATTTATTCATTAATCAAAAGCATAATGCCTATTTTATTCGCTAATTCTCTTATGTGTATATGGAATGTGTATGAATTGTGATGCTCCGAACCTTCACCGTCAAGAATGGTGTAATGGGCTCTAGTTGTTTTTGAAACGATTCTTGAAGTTTGTTAGTTTTCAAAAACATGTATAAAACTATTCTGTAAGTTTATTCAGGATTGAATTCATTTGAATCTAGTAAAAAATAGATATTATAGGAACAATTTATGATATTTTTACAATTTTTTATAAATTAATAAAATAATGAATGATATGACAAATATTATTGTAAACAAACTTTTTATTAAACAATTTGTTTAATATTTTAGAATATCTTACAAATGAAAATTAAATATATAATATGAAAATAAGTACAAAATCCAAATTATTCTTAAGAAAGCCTCAAAACATTACAAAAAAGATAGAAGTAGGGCTGTAAACGAACACGAACAAGGTTTTGTTCGTGTTTGTTCGTTTAAGTTAGCCGAACAACAAACGAACACGAACAGATAAACGAACGAGATTTTCTTGTTCATGTTCGTTCGTTTAACAAATTACTTTGTTCATGTTCGTTCATTTATGTTCGTGAACATGCTAAACGAACAAACATAAACGAACAAAGATAAAAAACACAATTGAACATATATAAACATAAACGAACATATAATATGGCAATATAATAAAAAATAATTGAATATAAATGAATATAAATAAACTTAAACGAACGAACATAAACGAACGTAAATGAACATCATAAACGAACGTTCACGAACATAAATGAACGAACGAGACCATTGTTCATGTTTGTTCATTTAACTAAACGAACGATAATTTTTGTTCATGTTCGTTCGTTTATTAAATAAACGAACATAAACGAACTTCCCGCCGAACAATTCACGAACGGTTCGCCGAACGTTCAGTTTGTTTACAGTCCTAGATAGAAGGCCATAGAAATATTATGAAGCCTTTTCTTCTAGAAAAAAGTCCAAAAAAGAAAACTCTTCAAGAACCGGTCTCAATAATTCAGAAAAAAAAAATCTATTGATGAAGTTGAATTAAGAAAAGACAGTCATTTGTCGGTTTATTTGTCATTCTCAAATTATAATGTTTTAAGAAAAAAAAAAGGTCCAAGCAATAATTTAGGAAACCAATTTGGATCAAATGGAGACAACAATCAATCAAACGATGTACTCTCTTTTGATTTAATGCTAGACACGATTTCACACTTGATTTTTCTAGATTTTTCTACATGTGACAAAAGAATTACTATTAAAGATTATTCAGAAAATAAGAACGATAGTCATCAATGGTAGACAAAACCATCACTACTACTATTCTAAGATTTCATTTTAAATTATAGATGACAGCTTTTATTACGAGTGTTACCAAAATTAATGACAAAGATCTCCACCCAGGCCAGGTCCTAACGGTGGGCGATCCGGGCGATCGCTCAAGGCCTACGACTTTAAGGGGCACAAAATCTTGGGTTATATGGTGTATATAGTTAAAAAAAATATGTATACCTTTCTTAAGGGCCCAATTTAGCCATATATGAAATTAGCCCACTAAAATAAAAAAAAACCGGCCTATACACCTCGTTCTGGAAAGCAGGAACACAGAGACCAAGAATTAGGGTGTTGTGAATCAATAAACGAATCGTCATACTCCATAAGCGAAGCGCCATCCCCTCGTGAATAGATATAAGACATTAATCCAATCAAGTATCATCACTCTCGTTTAGTCTTTTGTTGCCGTTCCTAAAAATATCCAAAACACTAATTCAACTATTCAAGAATCCTTTTTTTCTACCATTCTTGCCCTTCCCCTTCGACCATCTCTGCTTCTCACTCTCTCAAAGCTCGAAAATTTCGTCTTCAGCCTTCCTATTTGCTTATTTTTAGAGTGCATCGATCATATCAGGTAAGGTATTTTTGTTTCTGATTTCTGAACCGATTATGAGTTTCTATCCTGAGTTGTTTTTGTTTATTGTTTTTAATTAGTTAGGACATTTTGAACTGATTTACTGATTTGTGTTTCTGATTTCTTAATAGATTAGGTGTTATCAAACTGATTTCTAATTTGTGTTTGCTAAATCTATTCAGACATTCTTAACCGGTTTCTGATTTCTAAATGGATTAGGAGTTTTTGTACTGATTTCTGATTTGAGTTTCTGGTTTTTGTCTTAATTTTTGATTTATTTTTTATGAATTCTGAATAGATTAGAAGCTTCTGAACTGATTTATGTATTAATTTTTTATTTATTTTTTCTGAATTCTGAATATATTAGAAGCTTCTTAATTGATTTGTGATTTGTGTTTATGATATTTCATTTGTATATCAGATTTCTAAGATCATTTTCACCTTGAAACAGTGAAACTTAATGGTTTAAGGTTCACATTTACACTCAATATTGTAACGATCCAAATTTACAAAGAAAATTTTCATTTTTTTAATAATCAAACCATTTGTTTAAACCATAAATTCCCAAAAACATATGTTTTCAAATTCACATTCATTACATCATTATCTTCTTTTAAAGCATCAGAATGTCTCAAAACACACTGGTAAAGGAGAGATAGAGAGCACGTTGCGCCATCATGCCTTGCCCTTGCTCTTGGGCTCAAATGTACCTTAAACAAATCCACAAACGGTAAGCTTGAAAGCTTAGTGAGTTCCCCAGAGCACACCCACAGAAACACGTATAACATAACACGCTAGCTAAACAACTATCTAAAACACATAAACCATGCATGCCAATCACATAAGGAAGCCCTGGAAACCCTCCAGGGTCTTACTCCGGGTGCCACGGGAACCCCCACATGGTTTTAGCCCAATGCCCCAGGAACCCCCCGAGGTCTTTGACTTAGGATACCAAGGAAACCCTCCAAAGTCTTACACCTAAGTGCCTTAGGAACCCCCTGAGGTCTTACATACAAACACAATCACGTAGCATATCAAATCACAGGATGTCTAATACATGTATCATAATCACATAATGGGCCGACCTTGGTGCCTTAGACCCATTGTATGGTGAGGAGACTCACCACTATCTGCTGAATACAATAGCTGCTCTTTTAACAATCCAAAACCTCCCAAGTTGAATGATAATATTAATCAATGTTAGAACTTTGGTTAACCAAGGGAACCCAGCTCCCCAACCCTTCCATAAGGCATAATGTCCATCCTTTGATAATGGGCCCAAAGCCCAAGTCCAAAATCCTTAATGGGCTTCTTGGCCTAATAAAGGCCCAACACTAGATCCATGGTCCATAACAGTTATATGACTCATAATTCCCAGATTATACCAAGCCCAATAATAAAATGAGGCCCAAATAACCTAAGGGCCCAATACAGGTTCGGCCCATTTGCATTGTGTATGCTCGGCGTACCTTCTTGGTATGCCCCGCGTACTGGGATATGGGACTACGCCCCGCGTACACTGAGTTACGCCTAGCGTACCCTCAGTTTAAGCACTTTCCCCATTAAGTCCTTAATACTCGAGTCCTTTACGTCCAAAAACCAGATCTAAGTCTGTAAAGATGTTCTAAGGCATAAAGTTGGCAACTTTATGCCTTTGCATGACTCAAACACCCCCAACATCTCCATTAAGACCATTCCAAGGTCTTTAACCCATGCATGAGGCCAAAGCTCTCATCAAGCTTCCATTTTTATGGTACTAAAGGACCAAGGGACCTCAGATCTGTCTATCCCTTCTCCTGGAGTAGCTTAACTCTCAAAGGAGGTATAAAATCTTCCAAAAAGGGGCCAAACAAGAAACCCTAGCTAGATCTAGAGATTAAGATGGAAAGGTGCAAGCTTTATACCTCTAGAAGCTTTGCAAGATGACCAAGATGCAGGATCTTGAAGCACCAACTCGTTCCAAGCTTGTAAAACCACCTCTTCTTCTTGGAATGAACACTAAAGGAGTCACAATGCACTTATATAAGCTCAAAATGGTCTCACACAAGTTCTCTGAAGTGTAAGGGTGTTCTAAGGCAGTGGAGGCTCTTTAGGGCTAAGTCCAAGGGACTTAAGGTCATTTAAATAGGTCTCAAGTCCGAAAATTAGGGTTTTGAACCCCTGGCACGTACGCCCGGCGTACGGCTTGGTACGCCCAGCGTACCCCTATAACCTCCGCGACCAACCAAGTGTAGTATGCTAAGCGTACACTTAAGTACGCCCAACGTACTTAAGGGACCACTTATGCTAAAAATGAATTCTTGAGGGTCTCGAGACATACCATATTTAGGGTGTTACAAATATGGTAAAATGTTTGTAGATTTTAGGAAGTAATTGTATAATTAGATGCTTTAAGTTCCAAATTTATTGCATATAACGTGTTATTTATTAACAAATCTTGTAACTTTTATTTGTAGAGAGAAGTGCAAAGTGAAGTTTTTAAAAACTCAAGTTATTAAATAATTACACAAGCTTATCAATGTCACAAGAAACGTTTCTTGGTTTGGCAATACTATGTAAGAAAAAATATATATTAGATAAAATGATTTTGATAGTATCATTAATGATTTTGTATTTAAACGAACTAGAAGAAGTATTTTTATTTAAATTAGTTGTTTTGTAAATGTTTTTATATTTTGTATATTTGATAATATTATCATTGATTTTTGTAATAGGTATGTCTATTTTTGAAGTTTTATTATACTTTTGACTTTATGGGGCCATTTTTTATTGTCACCCTAGGCCCAAAATATGTTTGGACCGACCCTGTATCCACCACCACAATTTTCTACATGTCAACTTTATGGAACAACTATCCAAAGACATCATAATGCATAAAAACCACACTTGTATGATGAGTGTTACAAGCATTAATAGCAAAAACCACACTTTATGAAACTACTATTATTCAAAGACATCATAATGTATAAAAATGGCACTTGTGCATTATTTTCAGTAGTACCTGTTATAATTATGTTTTCAAGTTTCCTATATAAAGAAGCGTTTGCTTAGAAATTAGGCAGAGCCACTTAAAAAAAACTCTCTCTCTCTCTCTCTCTATATATATATATATATATATATACATATATATATCCTAAAAAACTCTTGAGCCTTTCATCAACTTAGTTGTATAAATGTTGTATGATATTAAATTTTGCATGTAAGTTTCTCTTCTTTATTTATTTTTAGTTTTATAAGGCTTTTAGAGGGAGTCATGAC